TTAAGTCAAGAAAGATTATCATTGTCAGACACTGATATTCATGCTTGTGTTCTAAAATCTGATGAACAGTGAACATGTGGTCATTGCAGCCATGACTAGGTCTAAAGCCAGCCTGATTTCCATGTGTTTTCAGTTTGCGATCCTTTGTCCGAACATTATTACTATGTTTCCATTGCTATTTGTAAGGAGCACTGAAATTATTAGCAAACACAGTGAAAAATTGTGAGAATATCTAGAAAAAGACGGAAACATTGAAAATATATTTCTTTTCAATTGGTTCCATAATCATGGCTTAGCATTAATACATATGTTGAATAACCTAGTCTAGTAAAGGACATATATAGTCAGTTAAATAATTAACTTCTCATCAAACTTCATCAATTCTTCGAAACAAAAATATTATTCATTCTATAATGACATATTTCAGCTTATTTAATCATCATCAGTAATGGGTATGCACTGCTGAGAAGTTCCACGATAGGATGAAATGGCCATCCAGTGCTTCCAGGTTTTTTTTTATAGAGGTCTAGCTTCAATTGACTCATGCTCTCAACTATTAAAATCAAATATACATAGGGAGGCGGGGTGAGGGTTCAATGATTTCGATTCTCTGATCTATTATCTAAATAATCCACAACAGACTGAATGTTAGAAAATCATCTATGAATATGATTTAAATAAAAGATGAACTACACAATAAGACAACTGAACAATCTCACTAATGAAGATTCTCAAGAATAATTCAAACAATAGAAATGAAGATAGAGGAATTACATTGATAAGTTTGATGTATTCTAATAATAAGATGGATCTCCTAGGAATTTCGTAAAAGTATATTTTGTGATCTAAATTTGTATATATTATTACACATTTTCTTATTGATATTTACGACTACAATAGATCAGTCTCTTTTGTCTATATGCGTATTCTGTATGGATTATCTTGATATTGTCTTAAGTTAAAAGCATTTTAAGCAGAGATAGATGGTGATTAGTTGTAGAATCTAGAATTTGCATTTCTTTCTATTTAGGAATCGTCAGCTGGATGTACGTTCATGTTAGAGTTGATTTTTACTCCTGGATTTGGCTTCAAAACATCAACTCTTGGATTGAGGTACATTCAGCTGATGATGAAATGCAGACGCTGAACTCCACAGCTTGCTGAAAATATATATTTTATGAATAGTCAAGTCATGTTGTTTATTTAAATAAGAATGATATTTTCTATGACATAATTCAGTAAACATAAAGGCTATATGGGTAAATAGATCATGAGTTCAGTTTCATGTGAGGTCATGGATGTATACAATTGAAATGTCTTCGATTAGATCAGAAACAGTTACCCAGTACATTTTTTTTATATTAAAGACGAATGATTAATATTAAGGAAAACCACATTCTTTTTAGGACTCGCTAGTTAAATATATCTGCAATTCAATGTTGACATTCAAACTGAAACCTTTCTCTCCAAGTGTCAGAACATTATTTATTGAGTTATAAAGTTCAAATGGCCACAGCTTTGTATAATGCGTGTAGATTTTATTTTTTACAGTTTGTGTTTTTCCTATATTAATATTAAAACTACAAATGGTCAATTCCTATTGGCATATGTTCATTCTAAGCCAATCGTCTCTACATTTCTATTTAAGCTAAAAGTTATCACGTTATTTAAATAATGGATAACAGTGGAATGCTCATGATGTATATTTGTCATTAGAAAACTATTACCCCAAATATTGACCCGAAATGCCCTGGTATGGCTGAGAGTGGGGAGAGTTCGCTCTCCATCTCCAAATGCTCCCACATGGCCACGCGTATACACTCACTAACAAGGAAGTCCTACGCACTGTCTTCTTATGGCATTACTGTTGTTTACGAAATTGGGAGGATGAAAAGAGAATCTCTGGCAATTTATCCGGGTTTGTGGACACGGAGAGTCCACCTAGGAGAGTTGAAAAACTCTGATTACAAACCAGTGTTGGATATGGGCTCCAGGATCCTGAAGAAACAAATGGTATATGAACCCATTGTTGGTCACCAGCTATCATGGGACTACATCTCCCGACATTGCTCGACTGCCTTTTGGATCAGACGTTTACGTTGAAGGTTCCGGGTGTGACCCCCTAAGAAGACCACCTGCTTCGATCTGAGCACCCATGCTATATAATAGCTTACTCACAAATGAAGTGAGTTGTATGGCGCATACGTATTCGTTGACCTCTTGTACCAATATTTATGTATTCAAATAAATCAATAAATAATACAAATAATTATTCAGTACCATCTAGGTTTTTCAATAGTTCTCGTAATGACGTCAATTCGAGATGAAAATTGCCCGTCTGATTAGATTCTTTAAGAAAAAACTCGACATACAAAAGATTGAAACAGATCCATTTGAACAAAATCGTTTTACTTGTTTCCAATTTCATTCGTGTTAATATAGAAATTTTACGTTCGTCTTGACAACCTATTCCGTTCACCATTTTCAAATTGTTTTAATCAATATAATTTTGTGCTGGATACAAATTGGTTAAATAAACATATGACATAGTAATAATGTACCATATTGAAACAATCACAAAGACTCATATAATGTATATGTAGTTATTAATATAATTTCTTAAATATTTAAAATGTATATTACCAACCATCAGTTAACAAAGATCGGAACCTGTTGGTTTTCATCGGATCCCATACTTTTGACATTATTTTCTTAGAATTTTTAAATTTAAACACTGGATTAGAATGAAGTTATATCAATCAATAAACAACTTCATAGTTAGATCAGAACAAAACATATGGATTAATTCCAAGCTATCTGGTTGTAAACTCGATCGTTGTTGCTATCTTGACGTGGTAGTCGGGCTTGCCAATAGTGATGGACCAATAGAGCTATACTGGTCAAAAAACCGTTCGTCAAGGTCCTACCATGTCAGACAGGTCGGTTGAAGAGCGGTAAGACTAAAATCAACAAACTCAAGGTTCGAAGGCGAGGTCGTACTGCTGACTGTACAGAGGTGTGACAGCAGTAAGGTGTTTCCTTCAGACAGCCAGCATAACATCAATGCTGCCTTCCCACAAGGAGGGGTGGGGTTAGAAAAGGTCGACCTTAAAAGTGCACAATTCGCCTTATCTCACGTATATCCGTGTCTAGCGGTAAGGTCTCAACAAGTACGGAGCTAACACGAAGATTACTCACAAAAAGGTCGTGTATGACTGACCTCAAACAGTTGTCCCTTGGACACTGGGGTCACTAAGGACAGTTCTAACCCATTTCCCTTTTCATGTACCTCCAGAAGAACCCTTCCATGGTTTGAGCAACCGGGAAGTGCTGACCACCCTCGTACCTCTATCAGCACTCAAGACCACTGTATTCATCTGGTTGAAAGGCTGTATTAAGCTGGATTTATTAAAGGATACAGTGTTTAAGGCTAGTATTATACTTTCATAGTTATTAGTTGAGATCAGTTTGGCTATATTCCAATTATATCAGATATAAAAAGAATGATATTAAGTGCATTCAATATGTTAGAGCTTCAGGAGATTCTAAGTTATTTATCAGAATGTTATGATACTTGATTAATGCTAATTAGTGTCTTTAAGTGAAACATGATTTATAGCGACAATTATGATAAGAATAGACACATGCTAAATAATACAAAGTTACCGTTTTTGTTCTGAGACACAGTGATCAGAGGATTATAATCAGCATTGAAAATCCATTAAGTTTGAAGCGTGCTAACTCCACATTCGTAAGGTCATCATTTTATTCTATATAATGGAATTTGAGCAAACACTCTTGAAGCTTATCAAACCGAGAAGAAATAGTTGCTTGGGTCTTTCTGATTTTCAGAGATTCCTCAGTTGATCACAATCCAGTAAAAGATTTTACTTTGAAGGATTTTCTACAGATTGTTTTAATTTGCAGATGGTATACGTCATTAACCGACATCGGTTGAAGTACGATAAGAAATCTAGAAACAGTAGACATTTATTTCATTTTAGTATTAAATTCCTCATCACTATGATTCCACAATCTCACCAGAAATCGACCTGAATAATTGGTTGTGAGCACTTAACCATTGGGTTTCCATGCAATGACGAAAATCCGAAATTTCAATCACTGTAATATAGTGTGACGATTATATAATACCATTTGTAACGGTTGTTTCAATCCATACATGTCTCCATTACACGAGTCACGAATTGTCACTACGATATAACAAGCTCTTGAATAAATTTCTTCAAAATGGGTTCCTAAACTCATTATAGGGAGTTATAATTAATAAAGTTCAGTCATGTCTGAGGTGATAAAAAATAATCTTCAATGGTATCATATTATTAAATAATATAAAATTACTTTTTTTCTGGTTAGCGTTTTTTCAGCGAGTTAGTCATCTACGGGATGTAGTCGCTAACCCTATTACCAACCCTCCTCCTTTATCAGGGCTTGGGGCTGGCATTAGCTTCAGAGGAGCTCCAGGTGGAGTTCTATTGCATGGGGCGGAAACATGGAGAACTACGAAAACCATCATCTAGAAGATTCAAGTGTTTATTAACAGTTAGCCAAAAACTATCATCAACAACCTACTGTGAGAGAGAACAAACCACATCCCAACGGAGGAAGAAATCTAGAAGAGGCACTAGAAATGGATAGGACACATATTGAGGAAAGCATCCAATTACGTCACAGCGCAAGCCCTCACATAAAATCCTCAAGGCCGAAGGAGAAGAGGAAGACAAAATAAAACATTACACCGAGAAATGGAGGCAAACATGAGAAGAATGAATAACGATTGGATAGAACTAAAAAGCAAGGCCTAGGACAGTGTGAGTTGTAGAATTCTATTCGATGACCTATGCTCCACTAAGAGTAACAGACATAATTAAATAAGTAAGTATTTATTACAAAAAGTTGATTGAAGTTGAAAATCTATTAGTTCTAGTAGTTGAACACTTACATCAAAACCTGAACATCCTAACTACAACCCCTATTTAAGACTATGATTGAAGACATCTGAGTAGTTTAATACTAGACCAGAAAAAATTATTATTATTATTGTCATTATTATTATTATTATTGTCATTATTATTATTATTATTATTATTATTATTATTATTATTATTATTATTAGTAGTAGTAGTAGTAGTAGTAGTAGTAGTAGTAGTAGTAGTAGTAGTAGAAGTAGTAGGAGTAGGAATAGTAGTGGTAGTAGTAGTAGTAGTAGTAGTAGTAGTAGTAGTAGTAGTAGGAGGAGGAGGAGGAGGAGGAGGAGGAGGAGGAGTAATAGTAGTATTCTAAATTGAATAGAAACAAGATGAAAACAAACAAACAAACAAACAAACCCACTCAATCATATGATTTTCCAATTAACTGATTTATGATTTTATTGTGTGTAGAAAACAAAAACCAAGAAAAAAACAAAAAAAAATAATAATCTATTGGAAAAAAGAAATGTTTCAACATTGTTTGTTTATTTGTTTCTCTTGTTTTTTTTCTCATCTATTTTGGAATATTGAAGAAAAAAAATTTTTTTGTTTTACTATTGTAACAAAATATCACTTTGAATAATTACGCAAAACTATGTGCATATATGGATATGCGTGTATGTAAGTATGTGTGTGTATGTGAGTGAGTGTGTGTATTCGCGTGGGTGTGTGTGTGTGCATATTTATTCGTGTATATAGTATATTCTTTAATGAGAAATAAAAATAGACTTTCTAGTTGATGAATTAATATTTAATGAACAATTAATGAAGAGATGGAATATTCTAAGAAATTGTTTACTTGAAGATTAGATGTTTTAGAACATTGATAAATCTATCCATCTATAATTAAATTGAATCTACGATATTTAGAACAGAAATATTGGGCTGGATGAAGCAACAAAAAAACATAATTAGAAACATTTAATAGTTGAATTCATGAGTCAATTAAAGCCTAGACCACCATGGAAAACAATGGAAGCACTGGAAGGCCGTTTCATCTTGTTGTGGGACTCTTCAACAATGTGCATCCACTGAACCTCTAGACCAATGAACCGACCGGCATCCAACGTTGTTAATGTTTAACTTCAACTAATCCACGAAATTGAATGACACATCCACCATTGTCTTCAGTGAGTTCCTATCTCACATGAGATCAAGTTGAACTCCATTGGTCACAGCTCCTCAATAGAATTCCAGGAAATACGTCTTGGAGACCGTCACTAGCGAGCATATAATGAATATAATAAGAGAGGGGTTTGTGGATAGTATAGTAATTTTTAATAGATGGATTCATGATTCAATTGAAGCTAGACCGCCATACTAGTCCCATACTAGAATGAAATAACCATCCATTAATTCCAGGTTTTCCATGATGGTCTAGCATCAATCGATTCATGAATTCAACTACTAAAAATTACTAATAATATTTACAAAACCCCTTTTTGATTACAATTAGAAGCAATTTATTCAAATGGTGACTATTAACTCCCCTCTTGAAAATAGTTTTCACAGAATTCAATTGTAAACTTCATGATTTATAATGTTAATTACACTCCACTTATTTGTGGCAATGTAAAATAATAAACGTTGCATTACTTAATAAGGTTCTCTCCTTAAGTTGCAAATATATATAGATTTTTATTATCAGAATGTGTTTTGTGGAGATTTTTAGAAATTTTCACAGATTGAAATCATGAGTCAGTTGAAAACCTGAAAGCACTGGACGGCCGTTTCGTCCTGGTATGGGACTCATCAGCAGTGCGTAGTTAGGTTGTATCATAATGAACATTGATCTAGAGTAAGGGTTTTACAGACTAGTTATTTGGATAGTTTTTGATTTCCAAAAATGATTCAACTATGAATCTCAATTTCTTTGTGATTTCGTAGTATTTCGTGATGAAATCAATGTTTAACTGAATTCGAACTAGGAGAATAGGTGATTAAAGTTTGGGTATTTATTAGTTCATAGTAAGAGAGAAAAAAAGTCAAAGATCTTCATTGGATATTTCATACAAATAGAAGGATAATATAACTTATTTCCCAAATAAAGATATATGTTTACCATTCTAATTCATTTGATACTGCTTGGTAACTCAAATCAATGTTGATATTGTAGGGTATGGAATTAGTTATGCTTTTAATGTGAGTGATTATATATATATAGCCGTGTATATGCATACCCTACCAGAAGTGAGAAGACATATATGGGCAACAATCGAGATGGTGTACAACAGTAATGACGAGTACTAATAAAGGTTATTCTTTAAAAGAGCAGGCAGTAAAATGTGATTTGATTGAGATTTGATTCTTATTTATAGTTGCAAACTTTTTTATAACACAACTTAAAATGTCTTAATGTAATTTGCTCGGATTTTTAAAGTTAGGCAGATATCAATTTCATCAGAATGGGGGTTTGTGGGGATTGTAGTAATTTTAACATTTAAATTCATAAATCGATCTGAACTAGACCACCAGTGAAAACCTGTAAGCACTGGAAAGTCGTTTCGTTTTATTGTGGAGCTCCTAAGTCGTGCGCATCCACGATCTCGCACGCAGCTCAGTGGTATTGGGAAGTTAAGCGTTCTAGCGCGAGACCGAAAGTCCTAGGTTCTATTCCTGTGTGTAGGATCGTGGATACACACTGCTGGAGAGCCCGATACCAAGACGAAATGACCTTTCAATGCTTCCAGGTTTTCAACGATGTTCTAACATTAATCAGTTTATAATCTGAATCAGAAACTTAATAATTTTTACAACCCCATACTGATAATAAACTTTAAACCTGGGTAGTTGTTTTGTTAATGTATAACTACCACACTTATTTCATATTCTGTCATACCATTAATTAAATTTTATTTTTTATATGGTCATAAAAATTCTAATGAAATGAATTTATTTGTTTGTTACAACACATAAATACTGGTACAAAGGGGCACCAGATACATATTCTCCACACAAGTCACATGATTTGCGTGTGAGATGTGATACTGTCAGGGTGCTCAAACTGAAGCAGGTGGTTTTCTCAGAGGGTCACACCTGAAGCTTTCAAGGTAAAGGTTTGATCCAAAGGGCAGTGGAGCAACATCAGGAGATATAGTCCCATGGTAGCTGGTGACTAACAATCGGTTCATATGCCAGTTGTTCCTTCAGGATCCTGGAGCCCATATGCATCATTAGTTTGGAATCAGTGTTTTTCAACTCTCGCAGGTGGACTCTCCGAGTCCACAAACGCGGAGTAAGCGCCTGACATTCGTTTTTTATCCTCCCGATTTCGTAAGCAACACTCGTGTCACGAGAAGACAGAGAGTAGAACTTCCCTGGTAGAAGCTATATACGCGTGGCCATGTGAGAGCATTGGGAGAGGGAGAGCGGACTCTTCCCACTCTCAGCCGTACCAGCGCATTTGGGAGCTCTGTGGAAATGAATGTGGCATTTCAGTATAGTTTATGTGTAGCAGGCAGTAAATCTTCAGGACGAGTGTTTCATTCTAACTAAACTTGTCAGCTGGATGTTCCCGGATCTTTATTTATTGAACATTAAGTTTTATATTAAGATAATGAAAAAATTTCAGCTTAGATAAAATTCAGTTTGATTGCAAAGCTCTTGTTATTGTTCAAAACACAATATGATTAGCTTCTATTTAATATAGAAGTAAGTCTTTTAATTACCACACAAGTTTTAATTCAATTTGTTCTGATAATCTTAATTGTAATTGATCGGATTTCTAGGTCTTGTTGTTTCTATTTGCTTTCCAATTTAGATGATTGTCTTGATTAATTCATTTTTGACTATATAGTTGATTGATTTTCTTCAAATGGGTTAACCTAATGGATCCATATAGATAGATCTATTTTGATGGAGTTTTGTTCTGTGAGCTGAATGGTTTGGTCGTGGAACTTTCATCTTTCTTCTGAACGACACCGTCAGTACAAACTGCAGGATATAATCTATTGATTTCGGATTGATTTGTTTTGTTTATTTCTAGAAGTTTACTAACACTCAGAAAGCCTCATGTGTCTAGAATTTCAAAGGTTTATAAATGGACTTCATTGTTTGTCATTGACTACTTCAAATGACTTCAGTGACCCTAACATCTTATCCTCTTAATTTTAGTTTATTTTCATGTATTCAAAGTTGAAGAGAGAGAGAGAGTGTGTGTGTATCTTTGTTTTTCTGAATAGAATATTTCTCTCATTTTATTCTTTTCTTTGTTAAACGGTATTCTCCATGTTTCCATTTTTCTTTTTGTGTCTTTCGATTCGTAAAACCAATATGAAATGCCTCCAAATGCTCTTACATTGTCACGCGTATACGCCCACTGACAAACATGACATACCCACTTCCTTCTTACTCCGGGGGTGATGTTTACGAAATCGGGAGGATGAAAAGCGAATCTCCGGAGATTTATCCGGGTTTATGGACTCGGAGAGTCCACCTACGAGAGTTGAAAAACACTGATTCCAAACTAATGATGCATATGGGCTCCAGGATCCTGAAGGAACAACTGGCATGTGAACCGATTGTTAGTCACCAGCTACCATGGGACTATATCTCCTGATGTTGCTCCACTACCTTTTGGATCAAACCTTTACCTTGAAAGCTTCAGGTGTGACCCTCTGAGAAAACCACCTGCTTCAGTTTGAGCACCCTGACAGTATCACATCTCACACGCAAATCATGTGACTTGTGTGGAGCATATGTATCTGGTATTAGATGATGGTTGGAGTTAGTCGACAGGAAACCTCGGACCCGGGTTTCGTGCTACTTGGCACTCGTCAGCAAGGTGTACCTGTAACTTCCAACTACCATCTAATCTCATTATATAGTGCCCACAGTGTCGAGTCACCTAGACTGGTGGCCACATTGCAACATGATCGATAACATTCGATCTGCACTAATAAGGACTAGACACACATGACATTGATCGCCACTCAGTGATCAATCAATTGTCATATGTATCTGGTGCCCCTTTGTACCAATATTTATGTGTTCAAATAATAATAATCATAATAAATATGAAATAATTAGATATGTTTGTTATGAATTTAATTGTCATTTAATTTCATATGCTAATTATAGTTAATCATCCTTTGAATAAATGTAATAATTTATTCTTGATTTGTAATTAATGTAGATAATCATCTTATAAATGAATTAATCACTAACCAATAATACTTGATACCGATCATTAACTAGATAATTGAATGACACTATGCATACTGTAATTTGTAACAAGTTATAGATTATGGATAAGTGAGGTATGTCAACCATTTAGAGCTTCTAAGTGTTCACTGTTTCTTCACTTAGTGTTGATTCTTCATCAATGATCACTTTTACGTGGTATATAAATCTTAATTAATAACTTAACT